CAAATATGTATCACTCTCTTAACCTATACAAATCACAAAAAATTAATAGCAGAGTAAAAGACATACAAGACATATTTAAACCATCGTCTTTTGTTTCGACAACTTCATTCTTCGTTGACTGATTTTTCCTAACAACGCAGCAAGCTGTGTATAGAAGTAGAGCCCGATTCAGGTTGCGACTGAAAGAGTTTCGAATAGATTGGAAGTTAAGTGAAAACAAGAGGAAATTTAACCATTCTAGAGCCGTTCTCTCAGATTTGTCTAGGGTTCCCGGAAGTAGCTGCTCAAAATTCGTCAACATTTCGCATAATTTCGAGAAGCCTGTAGGGCCAAAATCAGCTTGAGACTTTGTAAAAACGAATGTCAGAAGATCAGGAAAACTATTCTGAAAATACGCAAATCGAAGCTGCTATTTTGCACAATAAGAACCCAAAACATCTGTTAGCTTACCATTGTAAATGGGATATTTGGCAGAGTAACATCAAAGAATTCTTCTACGTCCACTTTACCCCTCAGTACAGGAGCAAACACAAAGTAACCAAAGCGGAGCACATCAGCATCAGGGTAATTCCTTTAAAAAATCACAGACTTTCTAAAAGTGCTAGGATAGTGCAAATCAAACCTTTCCCAAAAAGCAGTGTTCGTCGACCTGCAGTCAATAAAAGTCAAAAACTCTCCTGGAGACATAAGCTGAGATTGAGCACTATAAAAAGAAAATGTACTTTTAAGAAAGGAAAACAAATCTAAGAGTTACACTTGTTTTACACCAAAGCAAAGTAAAGGCTGGATAAGAAAAAAGAGCCCAAGGTGGATAGAAAAATCACTTCTGGTTGATCACACAGTGCCTTCGTAGTACTTCCTGAATCTGTTCATTAAAATGAGTGTCAGGCAGATGACAATCTTTCTTGCTGCGTTGATGGTATCCGAATAGCTTGTTGTATACTCCTAGAAGTCGTTTCAGTAAAGAAAGAAGGTCGTCCAATGGACCAGCTCCCATATCGGTCTGCAAATGAACTCGTCATTCAAAGATTCTTCTATAAGGATTCTAAAAAAGCTTTAGAGGATTAAATTAAAAGAAGATTTTTCATTAGAAGAAAATGGGCGAAAATCTACCTTGCTAACATTGTTTAGTATGGATTGTAATATGGATGACTCAGACATAAACGGTAGCACCATTAAAAGAAGTTCGCGTTTCGATTTCTGCAGTCGAAGCGAAGAAAATAGCGGCATGAAGGAGGTGATGTTGGATGCGGATGAAAACTGCAACAATCTTCAATACTTGATGAGTGGGCATAACAACAATACGACCTTAGAAAGAAGCATTCGATCGTGTTGATCCTGTGAAGTAACGCGCAACATTGAAAGGTGGAAAGGTACGGTCAAACGGTAAAATTTGCCCTTAAAAATTGAGTAGGTAAACAAAAAGAGAACACATCAATAGGATATGCATTGATAAATACTAGCTACCTGACTGTCAACAAAGTATGCATCACGTTCGTATATTGTACTATGTGACCCACAAAGAACGGCTGCACTTCCTCCATCAAGTAA